GGCGGCGGCGGCGGCGCACGCCTTTAATCCCAGCACTCGTGAGGCAGAGCCAGGTGGATCATTGTGAGTTCGAAGCCAGCCTGGACTACCGAGTGAGTTCCAGGAAAGGCGCAAAGCTACACAGAGAAACCCTGTCTCGAAAAAACAAAAACAACAACAAAAAAAAGTATAACTTTTGGTTGTGAGCCTAACCTTTAACGGCCCAGAGAAACCCTGTCTCGAAAAAAAAACAAAGAGAGAGAGAGAGAGAGAGAGAGAGAGAGAGAGAGAGAGAGAGAGAGAGAGAGAGAGAGGTATAACTTTTTTATTTGGGGTTATCTGGGATCATGGTCCAGAAATACACATTTTATGCAAGTGATTCCCTGCACACTGAGCTTTGAGAATGAACTATTGTTTTTCCTCTAGATAACTGATTTGTTTTATTGATTGCTTGAAGGTCTTTTTTAAATCAATTTTTGTCACACGATATATTTTGATTCCTTCTCCTCCTTCAATTCCTCTCAGATCTTCACTTCCTTACTCACCCAACTTCATGTTTTCTCCCTCTCTTAAAAAAACCCCAAAATGAAAACCAAAACAAACAAAAACCCATAAGACAAAAATAATAAATCAAAACAAAACAAAACGTGTACATACACACAGACACAGACACAGACACACACACACACACACACACACACACACACACACACACACACACACACCTTGGAGTTCATTTTGTGCTAGCCAACTACTCCTGGATACAGAATCTGCCCTAGAGTGTGGTTGACATACTCAGTGACATTCCATTGGAAAAAACAGTTTTTCCCCTTTCCCAGCAGGTATCAATTGCTAATAGCTTCTTGGTTAGGGCTGTGTCCACTTCCATTTCTTAGTGCTGGGATTTTGTCTGATTTGAACATGTGCAGGACTTGTGCATGCTGTTCTTACCTTCAGTACCTGTGATTCTGACCTTATGTGGTAATAAGGCCTTTGCAGATGTAATCAAATTAAAATGAGGTCATTGTGTTGGCCATAATCCAGTGACTGATGTCCTTATAAGACACACAGGGAGAAGACTGAAGCAGAGACTTCAGTGATGGGTCTCTAAGCCAAGAATGCCAAAGAATGCCAGCAAACACTAGAGGCTAGATGAGGCTAGATGAGGCTAAATGAGGCTAGGAAGGATTCTTCCTTACAAATTTCCAAGGATGTATTTCCCCACTGATCCCTGGATTTACATTGGTGGCAGTCTAGGCAGCCTCCTAGACTAAGAGAATTATTTTATTTTCGAGACAGGGCCTCACTACATAGTACTGGCTAGCCTGGAACTTGCTGTGAAGGCCAGACTGCCCTCCAGCTTGCAGAAATTCTCCCAACTCTGCCTTCCAAGTACTGGGATTTGAGGCTGGTGCCATACACACAGTCTCAGTTGCTGTAGCTTTAACCCACCTGTGTTCATGCACCTATGTTATGGAACCTTTAGGAAAGGAACACCCTACAGCCCTGGGCTTTTCTTGACAATATTTCCTAGTGGGAGCTGAGAGAAGTCTCTTCAATCAGAATAATGCACGTGGAACATACTAGTTGGAATGCACATTCCTAGGCTATTTCCTTCTATCCCTAGTAAGAATCCCTGGGGACAGAACCTTGAAATTTCTCTTTGTAGCAAGTTACCCACTTAGTTTCTAAGCATATTCTTTAGGGAACGCATTTTAGTCATGGGTGTACTTCAGGATTACTGATTAAGCTTCTGGAGTGTATACACACACACACACACACACACACACACACACACACACACACACACACACACGCGCGCGCGCACGCACATACACACACCCTGCAGAGGTTCTGAATCATTCAGCTTGTGTGGAGGGTGAACATCTGTATGGCTTAAAAACTTCACAGGCGATCTTAATATGCAGTCAAGATACAGAAGCCCCACTCTACAAACGGAAGAGAGCATTTCAAATTCAAGACTCTTGGCAATCATAGGCAACTCGCGCAGAGACTTCTTTTGATCAAAGTGCTCCTTTGGGTATTAAACATCTCGTTTTTCTTAGATAGGGTATCAGTCTGAACAGCCTTCCTTCCCAACTGACCTTCTCCCTGTGGCTCCCTTCATTAAGAGTACTTCACTAGCTTAGAGCTAGTCTTGGGGGTATATGCTTTTTAGCTCAAGTGGTGGAAGCAGGAGGACCAGGAGTTCAAGGCCATTTTCAGATACATGGGACAATCAGGGCCAGCCTAGGCTACACGAGAGCTGTCACAACCTCTTCTACCAAAAAACCAGGTGACAGAAGAAGGAATGATATTAGCCTAGAAATAAGAGCTTAATATGCTTTCCACCTGTGACTCTTAAAGTTACTTTTCCATACACCTTCCAGATGAGAAGCAGAAGGAAAAATAAGCATTTGCTATGTATTAAGCCAACTGAGGGAGACCTCAACAGTCCTATAGTATCTTTCTGATTGTCCTTGTAGATAAAATTCACAGGCTTTGATAAATTGTATGCCTTGACTTTTGGCACATTGTTATCATTAGTAAATTCAGGGTTTTTGTTTACTAAGGAATACAATGAACAACCATAGACAAACACCTGTGAATAAATACCAACTACAAGAGACTAATCACTTATGTTTTCCTCATCTCATCCCCCTATCTACTTCTTTCAAGCAGTAGCCAATACCCAATACCTTGAATTTTGTTCAGCAACCAATGCCTAAGCAATGTTGGTGTGATTTATTTTAAAATTTTAAAAACTCCAAAAACAAAGGAATGTATAAAGAAAATGAAAAATTATTCTATACAATGGAATTTTTCAGCCATAAAGAAGAACAAAGTTATGTTGATTCCATGAAAATGGATCCAACTGGAAAGATCCACATTAAACAAATTAAGTCAATCTCAGGAAGACAAATACCATGTTTTCTCTCATTTGCAGGTCCTAAATTTTATATAGACACATAAAATGACACACACACACACACACACACACACACACACACACACACACACACGCACACACGCACACACGCACACACGCACGCACGCTCACATGCACGCGCACACACACAGGGAGGGGGGATGAAAATAGAAGTAAAACTATCATGGAGGAAAAGGGATTGAGGGAAGGGTGGGGGTATAGGAGATATATAGTCAGTGTACAGTATACACTTGTATGAAATGTCTTCATGTAACACAGTACCAAGCACAATGAATATATACAGTGAAACATTTTAAAATGTTTTGGCTTATGCATGATGCTCAGCTTATTATTTTTACCCTACATCCTATTGATATATGATTCAGTTTTGACTACCTTATAATAGCAGGATGAAAAAGGCCATAAATTGCTTTGAGACTTCTTATTGCCATTGGACTTTGCTCTATTCTCCTTAGCTTGATATGTAAGATTTTCAATGTCCAGGCTGCCCTTAATTCCTTCTAATATCCTCCTTTCCAGTAATGCCCACTCAACCTAATTCCTTGCTTTGGTGTTTTTGTTGGAAAAAAAAAAACACCTCTACCTTTGTATAGCTCTGCATAGGGAAATACTATCATTCTTGAAGATTCAATTCATGAAACTGACCTTGGTTTCTCACCCCAATCTTAATTCCCACATCATTTTATATCTCTCTTCTAGAAGAATTATCTTTATCTAATATTGTAGATATCTATTTGGTATGTCTTCTACACTCCTTGATGTTTTCATACAATACTCCATATTTTATATAACTCTGCTTACAGAAGCTGATCAATAATAATTGAATAAATGCATGGATATGACTGAAGAAATGCACTTAGTACTGAAAGCTTACAGGAAAATACAGCCTTTTTTTATTTCTGACTTAGTTGTGACTCTAACTGCCCATTAGCATTGGTTACAGATCTCCATAGCTACCAAAAGTCCAAGCATGCTCAATAGCTTATGTAAAGTGTCTCATTTACATAGAATTTTTATACATCTTTCTGTATATTTTAATCCATCGGTACATTACTTGTAATACCCAAGACAATGCATATAGTACATAAATGATTATGCCTATTTTTAGAGACTAGTGTGAAGAAACAAAAGGTTGTATAATTCAGTAGAGCACATTTTTTAAAATTAATTTGCCATCTGTAGCTGGCTGAACCTGCTGTTGTTTGGATTCATGAATTTAGTACTTTATATCATTTCTTAAAACCTCTGCAGTTTGTGGATAACAAATGCCTGGATCAGTTCAGACAAGTGTATCGTTTTCATTTCTAAAATTCATAAAGGACTTTACATTTAACAAATGAAAAGTTAGGGATCATAGAACTGTCACTGTGTTCCTGTATCTGTGACACAACTTCTCATAAAAGTTTTCCAAATAGCAATGCTGTGGCTCTTCGATAATTAATTAATGAATAATTAATAAATTGCACTGATGACAGGACTTCTCCATGAAGAGCTCTGCACCATCTGAAAGGAAAAACAAAACAAAACAAGACAAAAAAAGAAAAATATTTCTGTCTACTCTGGGGATCTGATTATTGTGGAAAGATTTTTATCGATTTTTTTTTGTTTTCTTGAGATAAAGTTTCTCTGTGTAGCCTTGGAGCCTGTCCTAGAACTCACTCTGTAGGCCAGGCTGGCCTCGAACTCACAGAGATCCACCTGCCTCTGCTTCTCGAGTTCTGGGATTAAAGGAATGTGCCACCACAGCCCGGTTAGAATTATTTTCTTATCCTGCATTCTTTTCTGGAAATCATATAAATATAACTTCATTTCTGTTCTTTGTAAAAACTGATTCCTAGGTGTTGCTTGGTAAAGATGAGTGAACAATGGACATAAAGGTGACGAACTATGAGAAGACAGAAGAGAGGAAATTAAGAAATGGCAAGAACACAAAAATTGCCAAGGTGGGTATAGATAAGGTAGGATGTGGGGGAGAAGAGGTGTGAAAAAATGAGCTGTTGAGACAAAGAGAAAGAAGAGAAATGGGAAAATATCGGGAAAGAAGAGAGGAGGGAAGGAAGGAGAATGGAAGTTTGGAGGAAAGGGAAAAGAGAAAGACATTGATATAGTTAATTGGTGGTGTCAACATTAACCTAACAACTATCTGCTTTGCTTCACTTCTAATGTAAATAAAAATACCCAAGAGTGATAGCAATGAAACTTTGGCTTTGTATTTGCATAGTCAGTCATTAATTTGGTAAACAGAATCTTGGTAATAAAAATCTTTTTGTATTTTACTATGAGATTTGGATTGATGAGTTTAGTCTCTAAAGCCTCATAGGAGTAAACTGACATACACTCTTAGATCATGAATTTTTCTCCTTAAAATAAGGAAAGAATGTGGCAGTTTCTTTCTCTACCAACCCCAAGAGGGATCACAAGTGTGAGACTTATTTCTAACGAAAGCAAGGAAGTTCTATACAGGTCTACAAAATCAGACTAACATTTATTCAGCTAAACTTTATTGAGTGCCAATCAAATTCCAGGCACTAAGGTGAAGGCTAGGGATACAGAAATCAGTGTAAACTTATCCCTGTTTCTGTCATTGGGGTGCCCAAGTAGTTACTTTTTCTTTATATTGATGAAGTTCTGAAAACAATCCTGGGTCATTTTATAGTTCCTTACATGCTATCTGCTATATTTAATTTCAGAGCTGAAATCCCAACACACAAACAGGGAAGAAAAACAATCAACGGAATCATTCCTAAAAGCAAGTCCCAGCTGTTAATTGGCATCCCTGTTAAGAGTTAACACATTCTGTTGGCACGTATCTGCTTAATGAGGGGCAGGAAACTAAGGGAGGTAGGTACTGTTAGAGTATCAAGTTTCTTATCAGCCCGTGAAAAACCAATGTCAGCAGCGAGTGCCCCTTCAATGGCTGGAGACATAAAGTATTAAGCTTGCACAAGTGGAACTTGCTGTATCTCCTGCCGCAGATGCTGCCTGTTACACCTGCCGGTAAATAAAATTCATGTTCACGTCGGCACGAATAGCACCATTGTACTTCCACATATTTCTTACCTTTTCTGAGTCACAGAATGAATGGGTTTGGCTATTTAAATACCCCCTTGGAAGCTCACACCAGCAGACGACTTGTTCAGGAGCATCTCTGGAATATCTGGAAAATAGAAGGAAACCTTGAAGCGTCCCCGTACCCAAAGAAACAGGACTATGCCCATGCAACCCATGCTTTCTCTTTCACCTTCCTGAAGAGTCAGCCTTTTCAGAAAAGCAGAAAAGCACCTTCAGTTAGTTACTTTAAAAATCCCAGTTAGCACTTACGGCGTCAGAGTGCAGTTTCTGATGTCCGTTTCTTCTAAGCTGCAGAGAGCATTGAAAAGTCTCTGGATGGGTATATGCCCTCTTGGAACATTTGAATAGAAGCAGCCCGAATATGTTAAGTCCCTGGTTCTTCCTGTGCAGGCAACAGTTTAGCGAATGCAGGAAAGGTGACGATTCCACTCAGCTCAGCTTTGCCTGAGCGGTGTGGAGCCCCAGAGGGAGGGAGGAGATGCGAGAGCAAAGTTTGTACAAGCCTTCCACTTTAACCCCTTCAAGCCTCCCTCACTGAATCTGTGGGATTAGCTACGGCTTCCTCTCTTTGTAAAAGCTGCTTCATGTGTCATTTAAGAGGATCAGATCTCTTGTTCAATTCAAGAGATTTTCTCCTCCTAGCTCTCATAGCAATATGGGCTTAGAATGGAAACATGCCAGGCTGTGGTGGTATTTAAATAATTCCATCTTTACAAACAGAATGAATGCATGTGTATATCTGTAGGCTTGAAAAACTTCCGTAAGCATCATGTTAATAAAATTGAGTTTGAATATAATGTGGAAATTAAACAACAGCCTGTTACCAGTTAAGGGCAGAAAAATCTTTGAAAGAAAGATATGTGTTCCATTAGAAATGAAATCATCTATCTGTGGTTTAAATGCTCTATCTTGTATATACTAAGAAGGAGACTTAACATTTCTTGAAGGCTAAATGTACACAAGCATTGAACATAAAAAATTTCATTTCCTGAGTCGGGTGTGATGGCAGCACTTGAGAGGTGGAGACATGACGATCAGGAGTTCAAAGCCAGCTTTGAGTGAGTTCCAGGCTATCCTGGGCTACATGAGACTGTGTCTCTGGGAACAAAACCAAACCAAAGAAGTCAATTTCTTTTCCATAGAAACATTGTGGTTTGTGCAATATGATCTTCCTTTTCATAACTGAGAACCCGAGATTCACAGAGAACGTCTATAGTGTAACTGAGGGAGAATGGAGCCAGCATTTAAAAATAAGGCAAGGTGGTCCCAAAATCTCTCCTTTTTTCTCTGTAGCGGTGGCCTCTTGATCTCTGTCAGTCATGGATTTCTTTGAGAATATTCTGAAAGTCTGGCTTGTATCAGCACCAGTGCATTGTTTATTCAATAACACCTGGTCATCAAGAATTCCTATTATGGTAACAATAAGAACTTTATTAATAGCAATGTCTTGCCAATTTGAAGAAATTACTGGGCTGGGCATGTGGCTCAGCAGTAGAGTAATTTCATAGTGTACATGGGAGCCTGGGTTCAATTACCGGCACTGCAAAAAATTAAATAAATGATTCCCTGGCTTTTCTTTTATTCCCACACTTTCCCTCACAATTTCAGAATTTATGTCTTCATTTCCCATCATTCCAGTGGTTACAATTATTTGAGATCTTCTTGAAATCCTAAATGCCTTACTTACCAGTATGATTTAGGGTCTCCATCCTCAAACAGGTAGAAGGTGCTGGGATTTTCTAACTGGAACATTATGCTTATGAGTAATGAAACTACAGGATAAAGCTAGTACATTTTTTTAGAGAAGTGATTTTTACATAAATATTTGGAAAGTTAATAGTTACATAATATGATTAAAATTCAAGTTTCCAGGAAGATAATAGATGTTCTACAGTAGATAAGAAATGCTGAGGCCAGATCATCATACACAGGATTTACACTGAAAGTTCTCTAATAAACAAGAAGCCTTATTAGAGAGGGGACAGCAAAGGAATCTGTGGAAGAATTTCTCTGCAGAGAGATATTGCCATCTTTTATTCCATCACCCATAAGAGTGAAAATACCTACTGCACCTCAAGTGCTCTCAAGCACCAGTGGAAGAGGAGGTATTCTCAAGAGAGATACTTATGTCATTCCCTTTGGCTAACAAGTATGCAAGAATCCAAGCTTGGAAATGAGTGTTCTTAGCAGGCATATAAGAGTCCAAGCTTAAAAATCAATGTGCTTAACAGGTGTGCAAGAGCCAAGCTTGAAAATTAGTGTGCTTAGCAGGTGTTCAAGAGTGCAAGCTGGAAGCTGACCTGGAAAGAAAAGATCTTTCTCTATCTTTATGAAATGAATGGACCTAGGAACAAAGAACTCTGCTAGACCTGGAATGGCTGAGCATTTTACATCCACCATCCTAGAACCCTTGAGATGGTTCTCACTTTCAGATGGGAGTGTTTAAACAGGGGAACGTAGCTCATACCTCAGTAGTATACTAGCACCTGCGAGGCTGATGCAGGAGGATTGCCTTGAGTTCTAGGCTAGCCTGGGATAATTAGTGAGTTTGAGGCCAACCAGGGCTGTAGTGTTAGATCTTTTCTCAAAACAACAAAACACCACCAATGATAACCAAAAACAAAAGTGGACATCTTGAAGATGGAATGCTAACCCGATTTTTCTCCTTTGGTTAGGTCTTGAGAAAAATCTGTCTCTGTAACATACAACAGAGGCAGTGGAAGAACCTAGGGCCTGAGTTGACTTTCTTCCCAGGAAAAGATTTATTGAGGTGGGAAGATGGCAGTTAGGGTTATCTATGAATACAGCCCAATATAAAATTATATATCTACTTAAGATATTATGAGATTTTTGTGTGCGATTTTGTTTTTACTTTTTTTTTGTAATTTGGTTGCCAAATTCTTTTTTTAAATTATTATTCTGTCATATATTACATCCCAATCATAGTTTCCCCTCCCTCCTCTCCTCCCAGTCTCTCCCCAAGATCCACTCCTCCTCGATTTGCCTTTAGAAAAGGGCAGACCTCCCCAGGAATATCAACCAAACACAGCATGTCAAGTAATAATAAAACTAGGCACATTCCCTCATATGAAGGCTGGACAAGGCAACCCAGTAGGAGGAAAAGGGTCCCAAAGGCAGGCAAAAGAGTCAGAGACAGCCCCAGCCCCCACTGTTAGGGGTCCCATAAGAACACCAAGCTATACAACCATAAGGTATATGCAGAGGACCTACCTCAGACCCATACAGTCTCCCTGATTGTCGATTCAGTCTCTGTGAGCCTCTGTGAGCCTCTGTGAGCCTCTGTGAGCCTCTATGAGCCCTGCTTCGTTGATTCTGTGGGATATTTTCTTGTGGTGACTTGACCCCTATAGCTCCTACAATCCTTCCTACCTTTTCTCTCCAGGATTCTGGACCTCTGCCCAATGTTTGGCTGTGGGTCTCTGTATCTGCTCCTGTCGGTTGCTGGATGAAGCCTCTCTAATGACCACTATGCTAGGCTCCAGTCTACAAGTATAGCAGAGTATCATTAGGAGTCATTTTACTGACCTCCCCAGCCATGTTTCGTTCTATCCTATGCTTCTGGGCTATCCAGTCTCTGGTAGTGTCTGGCACGGACTTCCTCTTGCGGCATTGGTCTCATTTGGACCAGTCTTCCACAAGTTCTGCACCATCTTTACCCCATCACATCTTGCAGGCAGGACTAATTGTAGGTCAAACGTTTTGTGGCTGGGTTGGTGTCCAGTCCCTCCACTGGAAGTCTTGTCTGGATACAGGAGATGGTCGCCCAATTCTTGAATGAGAGCATTGTAGATGTTGATCCATGGTGCAGCACCAAAAGGTTGGATAAGCCTGGACTGTAAAACTGTATCAACAAATTTTATGTGTGTTGTGGACTTTACCTCCTGGTTTTCTTTTCGTTGGGTTTTAAAAATAATACTTATTAATTTACTTTGAGACATTTATAAATGTATCTTGATCACATTCATGCTCCCACTCCTTCCTCCAACTCCCCCCAGTCACCATTTTGTATCCTTTTTCTTTTCTTTGGAAGACGGTTTTTTTTTTTTCTTTTTGAGAGAGGGCTGACCTTAACGTTGGTATGCCACAGAGGTTGACCTAGAACTTCTGACCCTCCTACTCCTACCTCTTGAGTGTTGTGATTACATGCTTGTGCCACTATGTCTGGCTTATGTGGTACTGAGGATGCTTTCACTTCATCTTCCATAGAGGGGAGAGGTCCAGGGTGATAACACCTCCTGCATCTCAAGTGCAGCCAAGTAACAGCGCTCTCAAGCTGAAGCATTGATGGAAGAGGAGCATTTTACCAACTGATCTGCAGCCTGGCCTTGCCTCCTGTTTTTCTATAAATTGCTGTAATACCCAGTGGCACAGTGTGGTGGAAATTAGATTTCATTCTCTCCACAGTTTGCCAAAAAGTAAATAAATTCACTTTTCTCAAGGTAGCAAGTAAGTACATATGTGCTAGGCAAGAGTGGGAAAATAACTCACTAGAACTTGACATTTATTCCTTGTAACAAAAGCAGAGGATTAGAGCTACAAAAGCCAGTGTAGCCCTCGGCAGAAGGAGAGGGTTGATGGCATTGGAATTGGGCTGTATTTGGTTAGTTTGTCTGGACAGACCATGTGTAAGTGTTTCCTGGCAATCAAGTGGGGATTAATTCATCCTGGAACCTATAAAACAGAACTATCTGGGGGAGGGGTGGTGGGAATGCCAGCAACAGGAAACTGGAGATAACCTCTGAATACTTTAGCATAGAAGGGGTTGAACACTAAATAGAAATGTGTCAATTCAGAACTCCCCAATTACACAAGAGGGATTCTCAGTGACAGAGGCCTTTGAAAAGCCCACAGAGACCCCAGCAGTGGGAAGCAATTTCACTAAGGGAGAAATGACCAATTCCCTTATTTTCTTGCCATGTTCATACTTCCACCCTTTCAAAGATTCAGAGAGGAGTTGGCAAGTGGAAGAGAAAGGTAAAATCATGTGTGCCCCATAAAGCCTAATATCATATCTCTCCTTAATATCTCCTCCAAAGACTTTTGTAGTCTATGGACCTCAGTATGGGCAAGGCAAGGGGAGAAGATCTTATCTCGAGTAAAGACTGAAGAGATTTTCTTCTCTCTCTCTCTCTCTCTCTCTCTCTCTCTCTCTCTCTCTCTCTCTCTCTCTCTGTTTTTGGTTATCTCATGTATCTCATATTGTCCTCAAAATTACTATCTGCCTGAGCCTGAGCCTGAGCCTGATCCTCCTCCAGCCTCTACCTCCCAAGTACTTGGATTACAGGTCTGTGCCACAAGACCCAGTAAGACTGAGGAATTTGATTAATCTCTTAGAGGGACTACATACCGATTGTTGAATCAAGATTATGTTTTGTCATTTAGTGTGACTGTAGAATTGCCATCTGTCCAAATTTTCATCTAAAGCAGTGGTTCTCAACATTCAGGTTGCAACTCCTTTGTCATACGTCTATTTTCAAA